ACATGACCACGAGCAGGTTCGTTCCCTCCACTGGAAACAAGGTTTCACAGATGCCCTCACTGCAAGGAAGCAAAAAGGCCCTATGTCCTCATGACCAATACAAGGAGAGTTGGTTGTGTCTCTTCTGTCTACATATGTGAACACCCCACACATGGCCCAAAAGCATGCTTGTGGTATTTCTAAGGCTGCAAATGCAACTCCCCCCACCCCAGCCCAGCCTCTCTCCCCTCCTAGACTCCCTTCCCCACCCCGCCATCTCCCCAGCTTAAACCATGCACAAGGTCAAGATCCCTGGAGCCATAAATAAGTGGGGGGAGGAAGGAAAGGGAACCTCATTGCTGTGTTTATGGGGTAGAGGGGCAGACCTCACCCCAGCTCCTAAAGTAAGTCCAGGGAACCCAGCGCCAGGGAGAAGGGGAGCACGTTTCCCTGACAGCCATGCCTCTTACCATCTCGTGGGATGGCAAAGGCAGGACCAGGGGCCAGGGGCAGGAACGGAAAAGGTGTTCCGCTCCAATCCCCCGCCCTCGCTCCCCCGGCCAGGGCTCCAAAGCTGACACCTGTGTCATCGGTTGTCTTCAGAAACGCCCAACGACCATGCCAGACCCACACAGGAGAGAAAACCCGTGACCTCCACTGCTGGTTGCTGTTCTAACCCAAGCATTTAGCAATCAAGATACTCACACTCTTCCTCCTCAAGGCATGGCCAGCTATGACGAATCATCGCTCTCATTCTTCCCGTTCCCTTATCCTACCCAGAAACCCTCGACATCTCAAGACAAGACTCCTCTCTGGGGGCCTTTGGATCAGACTCCTCTATGAGGAATGACTCCATCAGCTTCAAAGCAGGTCATGAAAACACTTCCGCCCTCTCAGCCGCCCAGCCCACAAAACATCGGGCGGGGATATGTTATTTGCTCCTGAAAGACATCTTTGAGAAGTATAGACAAGGTGGCCCAGAAATAAAACACTGGACCAGCGTGGCCTCACTCCCAGTCAGAGGGAGGGTGGTGACAGGCACCCCTAACCGGAAGACGAGC